ATCGGTTTGCCTCTGACATCTATTGCTGAATTGGTCACTTCATGGCTTTTCGTAGTATAGTAGTTTGTATTTCGGGTCTTTCCGCTAATAGCCCGAGGCTTCTCAGAAATATAACCCAAAACTAGTACTATATTTTGGAAGCATCCCCTATATTTTAGTGCGATGTAATGCTGTTTGCGACTTCACGCCGTTTCAAAATGGACGTGCTTACCATTACTCACTGCGTACCATAACCTCTCTTACCCCTTACTTTTTTAAAAAAAATTCTGGAGCTTATACTTTTTTCAGCGCAGATCCCGTACAAGCCACACTATGAAATTCACATGAAGGCGTCGCGCGTTCTTGAAAGCTCCCTTTTGCTTTGAACTTTTGAAATCTACTTCCTTGAAGAATATCTTTCACTCAACGTAAAATGTCGTAAATGTTAAGCGAATTTCTGAGCTCCTTGCTTGACTAGATCGATCTTTTCTTTGTTCTGACTTTAGCAGTAAACAAACACGTGATGCACGTCTTTGTGGTCTGTGTCAGGCTTCGGGCAACTCCAGTTTACTGTAGGGTCGTTAGGAGGGTTGATTACACTCTATGATACTCACTGATGTTCGCGAAAGAGGAGATAAAGTAAGAAAGGAGAAGAAGGAGAAAGGCAGAAGTCATAAACCAACGATGAATCATACAAGGGAAAGGAAAAAATTACATTACGTGAAGCTTCTTGGTTTTACTGCCCACATAATAACGTATTTATTATTTGTCCATCTGTCAAGTTGGTTAAATTCGAGAATCGCTGGACCGGTTTGGATGAAATTTGATGTGAAGTTCGTGACAGTCTGCAAGACCTCAAAATAGTACTTTTTGGTATCCTCCTAGTGGTGATAACAAAAGGTAAACACTGGGGCGTTGTGATGTAATGGTCAAAGTGATAACTATCGAACAAGGCGGATTTAATATTTCTAAATACATGTTACAAAGAACACATGAGGATATTATGTGTATTTCGGTACGGAAAATACCTTCCGAGCTTTTTGGCCTACGACAGTTCAACCACTGCCACGTCTGGACAGAGGGACGGGCTGTTGGGGTTTGATTTCAGGCAGTGACAGTACCTAGCACGTCGATATTGTATTATGTGCGAGCATAATATGTGCGTATATGCTAATCGTAACGTAACATCGTCACAGAATTCAACAGCGGGATGTAATGGCGGACTGTCAACGGAAATGGCGAATTCCGCGTCTGAATATAACAAAACTTGTCCAAATGCCTGGCTGTGGTTTCTACACTAATAAGGGTACCATTTCCAAGGACGTTGAACGCTACATTTAATTCATTTCTGGGCCTATCTTCACAGCGTTGTGACTTTTATATATATATATATTGGACACGGAAATGAGGGAACTATGGATCGGTGACTACGTATCACCAAACTCCTGTGGCCTTTATATTCTTTCAATATTGAATAAGGAAAACAAAGAAAAATTTACTCACTTTTTCTTGGAAATGTTTAGATAGAAATGTCCTTTGTTCTTTGTTTATCTAACTGCGTTGTATCTACTGAACAGAATATGTAGCATGAAATTATATATAATTATTATTTGCGATAAACTGGAAAGGATGTGTAAGGAGATGATCTGTTTCGAGGCATTATTCTGGTGTTCTGAACCGAGTACCTCCAGTTGGCGCTAGAGTTCAACCAATGCATAATAAAGGTTTTTTAAAACGTAATATATAAACTGTACCGACACCGAGTGTCGTAATCCCTAATGGTGGCTTCAGTCTGTGTGTTTAATGTCGTCTCCTTTGAATGAATCGACCGATTTTAACAAATACCATTATAGTCGCCCAATGCCATAGCCTGTTTTATATCTTTCCTCTGAACATTTCTATCTTGACGGCTGTGCGAAGTATCGTGGTGGGAGCTGCAGTGAAGTTATTCACTGAAAATTGCTTTCAGTTTTATTGTTGATAAATTTAAGAAATATATTATTAAACACAGATTTTACAGCAATTGAAAATCATTGTTACTTTTGTCCGCACTGTTGCGTGTTTTTGTTTTATTTTAATTTTAGTGTTTTTATAAGGGAATGTAGGTTTATGAGTCGTGATGCCCGTGTGTCTGTCTCACCGTCGACACTCCTGAATCAGTGAATGGATTTACACAAAACTTAATACTGTAGGCTACATTTCCTTTGTACTTCTTAAGTCCCTGCGAACAGCAGGCATAATATTAATGTAGATGTGTGTACTTGTAAAACACTGTCACAACTTGGTTTGTATTCGTAAAATATCGTTAAATATAATATAACATAACGAAATGAGTGAAGCGTGAAATTTTTACGTAATTTAAGTAGGATTTGAGGTTTTCACAGCGGTGAGTTTGAAGATTTCTGTCTTCTGGGTTGTTGTGTCGTGTAGTCTGGTAGATGTCCACCACCGTTTCAGAGGTCCATGCTGCCTCCATCATCAGGGCTATGCTGTCTTCTTGTATGTAGCTTCCCTTTCATACTATATTAAGTAACTCTGGTACCCAAGAATTTGAAAAGTATTCACCAATGTATGGAACTAAATTATATCAATATATCTGTTAAATCCCATTGGCTTGCAATCTCCATACAGAAGACGAAAATAACCTTTATTATTCGACCGAACGTCACGACCAAGTGGTTAGCTCTTCTTCGTATTTGGGATATCCTGGCCTGAGACCGACTATTTTTACTCACGTTTCTTCCTGTTATCTTCAATCTCTCAAGGAAAATTAGTGGCTAGTGCCTTAAATTAAGCCATGACGGTTCCTTCTAATTCATTACTTAATAATCATATAATTTTACCATGTTTGACGTGAGTTGCAGGCAGCTTCGTTAACCAAGCTTAAAATAAACACAAATAAGTAGGATTTGTGGTTTCAAGGCGGCGAGTATGAAGATGGCTGCCTTCTGAGTTGAGACGTCATGTAGTCTATTAAAATTTACCGACGTTTCAGAGGTCTTTGCTGCCTCCATCATCAGTACGATAAGCCAGCAAGGACCTCTGAAATATTGGTAAAATTTACCAGACTACAC